AATGGCTTAGTTCCTCTCTGCCTGTCAATCTACAGCAGTGCTGGCCAACTGTAAGCGTCTGCCAGCTCGCATACACACAATTCCAGCTCGATCAACTAGCGTTTGAAAAGATGCGGTAGCTGGGCTCGGGTGTCTTGGATGAAGCACACCCTTGCTTTCACACTACCAGATTAGTTGCTGGTGTATGACAGTGGATATTTAGACTGGCAGGTGGGAATTCAGTGCCGACTGGGAGCACAGTGGGGAGATAATTGGAGAAAAAGAAAAGGTTTTACCTTATGGTGTAAAACCAAATGTCTTCACAATGTAAAAAGTTTTTGCTTCCAATCAAAAAAGTCTGCTCACACACACAGGCTTCCTTTCTGTATAACTTTCAGTTCCACCAGTCTAGCTCCCCTAACAGCAGCCACAGTGTTCTCCATCCACGCACATTGTGAAGCACGGCAGGTGATAATTTAACAATGGTTATTTTACCATGTGGAGCCTTTTCTGTCTCTTTATAAAGAGCAGTCTACTCTCTCTCTCTCTCTCTCTCTCTCTCTCTCTCTCTCTCCCTCTCTCTCTCTCTCTCTCTCTCTCTCTCCTTCCATCCCTTTCTGTTTCTCTTTTTCATTTACATTTGTCTCTGTCTGTCTTTCTCTGTCATTATCTTTCTTTTCTCTCTTCTGTCTCCCTCTCCTTCTGTCAGTTTCTGTCTACCTCTTCTCTCCCTTGTCCCATTCTCTTTCTTTCTCTTTCTCCATCCCTCTCTTCTCTCCTCTCCATCTAACTCTTCCTCTCTCTGTCTCTGTCTATCTCTCTTCATATTTTCCTCTGTTCCATTCCATTTCCTTCTTTCTTGTCCTTTATCCCTCCTTCCCTTCCCCTCTATCTCCACTATCTATATCTTTCTCTTTCCCTCCTTCCCTTCCCTTTCCAGCTACATCTGTTTCTCTCTTTGTCTCCCCTCTCTCACCTTTTTCTGTCCCTCTCTTCCCTTCTTTTTTCTCTTCTGTTTTTGTCTTTCTCTCGCCAACTCTTTGTCTCTCTTTCTTATTCTATCTCTCCATCTTCCCCTACCTTCCTCCTTGCTATATTTCTCTTCACCCCCCCCCACACTTTATCCTCCCACAGTAGGACTGATACAGGGCCAGCTAGTGCACCCTCATTTATGCACTCATTTATTGGCACCGTTCTGTCTCAAAGTGGATTAGCCGGCTTTTATCCACTCTCAATACCGCCGGTGACAAGCAGTGGCATAGAGCACCAGTCTAATGCCTGAGGAAGAGGAGCGGAAAAAAAATAAAAAACCTTAGTCGAGAGCAGCATACCACTCCAATCACCATTCGCTAAAGAAGACGATAAAGTGTGCCGGACTGATTAGAGGAGGGCTGGGAAAAATCAGCCTTTTAAACTGTACTGAGATCAGTTCTGAGTGTTTTTAAGACTAAGTAAAAGTTTGAGTGAAAGGAAGCTGACCTTAAATCAGTGCGAAAGTCCAAATATATTGATAACTGGACTGAACTTGAAAATGTGTGTGCTTTGGAGGAGAACTATATGTTATTGCCCATTTCAACTGTTCTGAGATCAGTTTTGAGTGTTTCTCTTAAAATGTGTAAAAGGAGGCTGTCTCTAGATCAGTGCACTAATCACTTTGTTGAACTTTAACCAAATTGCTTTAGATGGAGACCTGGTGAAATCTCCCTGTTCTGAATAAACTGTTCTGTATCAGTATTGAATTTGAGTAGTGAGTTTGAGTAAAAGGAAGCTGCTCCTTCACTCTTAGGAATACATGTTGCTAAATGGTTCTTGGCCTGAGAGTATGATTCTGAGAAAGAAACTATATATTATGTGGAGATTCTTAACTTTAAAATGTTCTTCATACAAAAATGAGTCTTTAAAGCATCATCCGACATTCAAGAGGTAACCAAAAATAATTCTGCTGTGGCGTCGCTCCAAGAAAGAGTACACTTTTTCAAACTGTACATCAGCACAAAAGCTCAAATGGTCTGATAACTGGGCTGGACTGAACTTGAAACTGAGTTGCTTAAGGGGTAAAATATCATGTTGTTAGATGAAAAGGAACAAAGTCAGTGGGGATCTTGCTGGGCTTCTGTTTAGGAATAAGAGAAGACAACTCTGTAACTGTCGGGCCAGACTTTCATACTATAGCACAACACAACAGGACTAAAAACACTGAAACTGAGCAATATGTAAGTTTGAGCATATCGACATTAGTCGACATTAGTCAGAGATGCTGTTTAAGTCTTGGAGGAGCTTTTTACAAAGAGGTAGAAGGCAATACCTCACCACTGTGGCAAAAACACATTATTTTCAGTGTTAGTCAGGGTCAGGGGTTAACTGTTTTTTTAGCCAAATCTATTTCACTTCTCCACTTCAGTTCACCTGACCCTTTCACCACCTCACTCCTTTTAGTGTAACTTTAAGAATGAATTCAATTTACAATATTATCACTGCTGTCAGAACAAAACCTCGTATCTCCATTTTTTAATTTTTCAGTTTTTGACATAATTTGAAAATGCCTGTTCCTCTTTGCATTGTGTGTAAATTTCATGATGAATGGACCAACATAAACGGACCAAAATGTACTTAAAAAAATGTCTGGTTCCATTTACTTGCATTAAAAGTAAAGTATGTTTTTTCCTTCTCCTGTAAAGGTGTGATTTTGGAGATACAAGGTTTTGTTCCGACAGCAGCGATATGTTGAATTCTGACAGATAATATACAGTGTTAGCAATGTGATAGGCTTTATCTATTTTTCAGAAGATTTCTTTAGTCAAAGTTTACAATTACTTTTACAAATACAAATATGTTTATAACATTCATTTGCACATTTTTAAAAGTCATTAAGGTAAATGCTATGTCATACATTTAAGCAAATGGCTGCTAATCCACAGTGCTGTTTAAGTCACTCGTACTTTTTTAAAATGTTGTATAGTTTTGTAGTTTATTGGCTTTTTCTCCCTTATTTATGTGTGTCTTGGACAGATTTTCCTTCCTTCAGAAGTTTCTATCTGTCTGTCTGTCTATCTATCTATCTATCTATCTATCTATCTATCTATCTATCTTTTTTAGTTTGCTGATTGATATGCAGATATAACAGCCAGGCTGTATTCCCACACTGCTGTTTATAACACAAGCAAAACTTTTCATGTGGTGATATGTTTGCCTCCTGTCTCTGCTGGAACCCAATCATAATCAGCTTCACGCCGTGCTGTGCTGGACAAGAGCCCGTAGGTGTGTGCTTGTGTGCCAGGTGGGCGTCTTTTTAACGCGTACAGAAGGAAAAGAACTGGACATGATTCAGCGATGGTGACAAATAAGAGTGAGTATCTCTCAGTTAAGAATAATAACTGGTGTGTTATTGATTTCTTTATTATAGCCTAGTGAAACACAAGCCCCCTCCAACCTTAATAACATATATTAGTCCAAATATGTGCAAGTGGGCTTCTAGATTGGCCAAAACAGGGGCTACAATGGTTACACTTCTCTAAAAACATGGATGACTTGTAAGAAAAAAATAAAAAAGATTTTGCCATATTGCAGAAAAAAGATTTAATCTTCTCTCTCTATCTATAGCACATCCTACACAAATGCTGTTGAGCTCTCTCTTTTTTCTCTCTCTTAGAATCATACCTATACTCTCACACAGAAAACCAGCTTGGACGAATGTGTCATGGCCCTCTTGCTTCTCCTGGCCTTATCCAACCTTGGCCAAGCTTAGTCACAGTGAGTAAGCCTGAGATTTGTTACACGTTTTTTGAAAGGAGGTAAGAACCCTGAACTGCACTTTCAGACTCAGCTCTATGAACACAACAGCTCTATGAACACAACAGTGACCTTGAAATGTTTTTCAGAAGTCTGACGAAATCGTGGGACACATAACTGTACTGGTACTGCCGCGAGACTGGACTGCTGCTGATCAATGTGTTCCTAGAAATGAACAGCACTTCAGCAGCTTCAGTGTGTGCCTGCGGTTTGAGGCTGAGAGACTGAGATACTGACTTACAGCAGGAAGGACAGACTGTGCATGTGTCGGGGGGGGGAGGCAGAGGTGTGAGTGTGTGACAGTGAAACAGAAGAGAGAGAGGTGGAAAGAAAGAAAGAAAGAAAGATAGAAAGAGAAGAGAAGAGAAGAGATGAGAAGAGAAGAGAAGAGAGGAGAAAGCAGGAATGAGAGAGACAGAGACAGAGACAAAAAAGAGAGAGGAGAGAAACCCAGAGAGAGAATGGGAGCTAGAATGACAGAACACCAGAAAGAGAGAGAAAAAGCAAGACTTAGAGATAATGAGAGAAGGAGAGATAGAGAAACAGAGAGAAAAAGACAGATAGAGAGAAGAAAAAGACGAAGATGGAGAAGGACAGAAATCTGAGAGAATGAAGAAAAACAATGAAACATGGAGGGAAGGAGTGATAGAAGAGTGATAAAAGGAAAGGAAGAGATGAAGAGAGCAAGAGAGTGTGAGAGAGAGATGGAATGAAAGACAGAGAGATGAAAAGGGAGATGCAGGGAAAGTGAGACAAGACAGGGAAAAGACAGAAAAACACATGACATGGAGAGAAAGAGAATACAGAAAGAAAGAGAGAGAGAGAGAGAGAGAGAGAGAGAGAGAGAGAGAGAGAGAGAGAGAGAGAGAGAGTTTAGCTGGTAAAGTGAGCCGTTCAGAAGAGTGTAAGGGTCTCCGTCAGTCTCTCGGTCTCTGCTCGCTGAATCTGCTCGTCTGCTTTACGTGCTCTGTTTAATGGATGAGTAGAAGCGGTAGAGTAGAAGATGAGTGTGAAAAGGCCACACAACAGCTTCCCACAGTCAGCATCAGATCAAACACTGACACTCAGCTTTTTTGAGCAAAAACAGCACTAAGAGAACTGAATCTCACCCAGACTCCGCTTTTCAGCTTTTCTAGATTACATAACAGCAGCCGGTGCTGTCACGAAGGGCTGCTGGCAGCGTTTGACTTTCTGTCTCCCTGCTAACGCGGTGTAAACAGACGCTCACTCACCTTGGTTGGGGTGGCTGGGGTCCGTTAACGTTACTATCCGCACCGTCGCGAAGACGAGACAGAATCTGAGTTGAAAAGTCATTTTTAAACCCAAATCCAGCGAGGCGCCCACGTCGGCACGACGACGCGAAGGAGCAGGAAACCTCAGCAAACGTCCTACAGATGTTCCCTCACACTACTTTAGACCGGTTCGAGCGGATTTGAGGAGCCTCGCTGTCTCCGTCTGCGCGGCTCAAACGCCAATCCATCGCCAGCGCTTCACTCCGAGGGAGCCTGACGGAGGAAAAATAAACAAACTTGTCCGTTAATTCTATCCCTCCGAGTTGTTAATGGTCGAATGTGGCCGTAAACACGGCAAAAATGCTTCCGAGAGTCGTTTTTCTGTCAGAAATCCTGTACTCGACTCGCTGCTTTCTTTTCCAGTAACGGCTGGCGAGCGCGCGAGCGTCTCCTGTCAGAATGTTGCTGAGCGCGCGCGAGGCTTCTGGCGCCAAAAGAAAAAAAAAAGAACTCCCGCCACAAGCAAGAAGACTCTGTTCGGGGCCGTGGAGCGCGACTGCGGCTCGAGTCCTTGCGGTCCAACGTTAAAGTGAGTGGAAGACAGAAATGAGAGAGAGTTTTCCCTCAGCTTGTATAGGACGCGCGAGGCTCGCCTCAGCGCTAGAGGGAGTGCGCTCGCGCGGGCGCACGTGCCGCTTTCCTCTCCGCGCCTCGCTCGCGCAGCACAGCTCCGAGGTGCGTTAGATTTCTTTTAAGAGATTAACAGGCTTTAGCCGGTGACACTAAAACAGACACAACGTCACCCTGACTGAACTGTGTGTTCTACTGCCTAATGATGTTTGGTGAAGTGGATTCGGGTATTATGAAACGCTGTGAAACATCATGATCAGGGCACACATTGTGAGGTATTGTGGGGCAGTGTTTGGTGTTATGGGACAGAGTGTTAGGTATTATGAGACAGTGGATTAGGTATTATTAGACAGTGGATTAGGTACTATAACACAATGTGTTTGGTATTATGGGACAAAGTATTAGGTAATATGAGACAGTGTGTTTGGTATTATGGGACAGTGTCAGATACTATGAGACAGTGAGTTAGGTTATATGGGACAGTATGTTAGGCATTGTGGGATAGTGTGTTGGGCATTGTGGGACAGAGTTTTAGGTATTGTGGAACAGAGTGTTAGGCATTGTGGGGAAGAAGAGTGTTAGGTATTATAAGACATTGGATTAGGCATTATGAGACAATGTATTTGGTATTATGGGACAAAGTGTCAAATAATATGAGACTGTGTTTGGTATTATGGGACATTGTGTTCGGTATTTTAGAACAATGTGTTAGTTATTGTGGGACAGAGTGTTAGGTATTATAAGACAGTGGATTAGGTATTATGAGACAATGTGTTTGGTATTATGGGACAAAGTGTTAGGTAATATGACACAATGTGTTAGGAATTATAGAACAATGTGTTAGGTATTATGGGACAGGGTGTTAGATATGTGTTAGGTATTATGGGACAGTGTATTAGATATTAGCAAGGTATGTTAAATCATGTGGGACTCATCACAGGCCCCGAATGATAAAGCTACCCTTTTATTCAGTTTCTCCTAAGCAATAAGCCTGTTTACATTTTCATTTTGCTCAGTTGAAAAGAATGCACTAGTAAGCATCAACTGAAAATGGGTTCTTAGGGAAAAAATAGTTCTTTAAAGTGTCCTCTATTACCTGATGGTCCATAATAATACTACCCGTATTCAGCCTACAATCACCATATCAGTTCATTTTGTTAAATGTTGTTTGATGAGTCATCTCTCCTGTCTCTGAACATCTCTCTAAAGGCTTTTCAGTTCTTCATGTCATCCTTTGCTTGCATTTGTTTTGTGAAGAAAACACAAAAAACACAAAAGAAAGTGACTTCAAATGTTTGTTGACTGGCATGCCACACCAGTAGAGTACTTTGTATAGACTTGTCATAATGATAATATAATGATGCAGAAAATAAGCCTTAGTTATTGGTCTGCAGATAAAGGAGCAGAACTACATCTCCCACAGAAACATCATTCTTCACTCACCTGCACATCCCTACATTCTTAAAAATAACCATTCCTACATGGCTTTTGTCCTGGAGAATATGTAATTTAATTCAATGGGTAAAAAAAATTATTCGCAATGCCGCTACTGAAGCCTTGAAAACTTTGAAAGCCAGTATTTTTTTCTTTACAAACTATTTAGCTTTAAAATGAGCTATTTGTTAATTGATGTTCTTAACATAAAACTTCATGTTTTAAGTACTCAAACACTCTACTACTTCCCGGGAAGAAATAAACAGCTAACAACACCACATAACACAGTGTGAATGTGTTCAGGCTAGATTTGTTACAAGACTGGATCAGATTAATTCCTTGTTTCACTCTGATATCCGGTCCAGCCTTTCCTGCTGATAGCGTACCAATACAGATAGCCATTGATAACAATAATATTATCTCTACAGAGAATTTTTACGTAATGGTGTCTTTACACTCACAAATTACCTTTACAAGCATTCAGAAGCAATGCAGAAATGTTCTTCAAGAAACTAAATATACTAGTACTATGGCAAAATATTGCACAAAATAAGTTTTTAGGTTTATTTCTAACATGTAAATGTTCTTGAGAAAGTCCATAGTACTGCTTATGCCTCAATCATGCCTTGTGCATAGGTATAGCAAAGCTTTTATAAATGCCATCTAATGATATTCAGGTATGAAAATGCACCTACACACACACACACACACACAAACACACACACACACACACTTATACATTCCCTCCTCCACACTTGGGCTAATCCATGCAGGACTGGGTATTTATATGCAAGCCATTTGAAAGGTCATTTGATGCTATCATGCATACGGGATCTGCTGTATGTAATTTATTGATTGACTGGGAGCCAGGGGTTTGGAAGGAAAACAAGTCTTTAATGCGGGGGGCTTGCTTCCAGTCTGTGCCATTCCTTGAATCGGGTTATGCTGGCTAAGCAGTCGTAATGCGTCTGCATACAGCATTAGAGGACATTGGATATGCAGGGAGGTAAACGGATACAGCAAGGGAGAATCAAAATTATTCTCCCAATATCTTTTCTATTCATAATCTCATCTGCCTGTGAATTTGATATATACGGCCACAGCAAAAGGCTTATGTACTGTAGGCCTTAGCGTCGCGACTGTGTGGTCATCAAAAGTGCTTATTGTTAATGGATATTTTTATTCATTTCCATTGACTTTTTCATTTTTTTTAGCAGTTTGGCACTGACATTCATCTCCGAAGATGGCTGTAGCTTTGGAAACATTAGCTTCTTAGAATTAGTCAATGGGAAACTCTCAGGGCCTGCTAGGCCTTCAGAAAAGGCCTGATGATTTCTGTGAAACATAAAATACTGTCTGTAAGGCTTTGTTCATTCTTATTTAATAGAACCACAAGCCCTATTATTTTTAAACTCTGCAAGCATTGCAGTAAAACTCTAAATCTATTGTTAAGTTTTAGTTGAAAACAAAAAGGATTAGATTCTTGAAATACCCAATGGAAAATTATCTAATCAGGGTTTATCTGTGGTATCCAGGCAGATACAGCTAAGCTAGCTCCCCCATTGGTAAGGACTTCAGGAGCTGAACTGAAAACCTAATGTATCCGATAAACTACTTGATGTGATCAACCAATCTTGCTTTGCTTTCCAATGGATGGAACCAAGGTTGTGAGGAAAAAAACATCATTTGAGGCCTTCTGGAAGTCTAGTTATATCAATGACTGCGAGTGGTAGCTAAACAATGTATTTCAGTCTGATGTTAGAAATGGAAAACAGCAACATGCTGTTGCCAATGTTCTTTACTGAAAACATCACCATAAAACTTCTACAAGGTAAAATATATGTTATATATGTGTTACAAGCTTCAAACAAAGTATAGAATGTCTTTTCCAAGTTTCAGATATCTGTGTTTAATCTAAAATGGCTAAAAAATGTTAATGATAATCATTGTTAGTTTAGTGCAATATGCTAGTAGAATCCCAAAGGGCCTTAGCAGGAATTAGCATTATTGTATAGGTGTTTATGTTGATATCTTTAATAGTTATGGTTCTCCACTGGAATCACTGCCTAATACGCATAGTATTAGGCAGTGATTCCAGTGGAGAACCATAACTATTAAAGATCCAGGCATAGTGATAGAGTAATATTTGATCTTGGAACAGAGCTGGAGGACACTTAAAAACCAAGGTGCATTTCTATAAAGCATTTCAAAATGAGAGCGATAACCAGGGATACGGGCCAACCATTCATTTAATCTTGTTTGGCATGACATCGGTATCATTTGACTGCTCTTGTGTCAAGCATTTGATACACACAGTATCAGTCAAATGTTTGTACACACCTGATTGAATGTGTTTTTTATAATCTCATTCATTAATAAAATTGATGTTTATGTGTGACATTGTTTCTAAAACAAATTTAAAGCTTTTTTAAATACCCCTGAGTTTTCAGCAGCCAACAAGGTCTCAGCATGAATGGAACTTCCTCAGAAATGTTGGAAAAGCATAGGTGCCTCATGAAGCTGCTTGAAGATTGCCAAAGGGGGCACTTTGTAAAGTGTTTTGGTCACTGCAAAATGTATCAAAACAAAACAAAACAAAACAAAAAAATTAATTCTAAAAAGATGAAAATAGTAAAAGTGCAAAAGCCCTCTGGTAGGTGCATCCAAACATTTGACCGCTCAGCTATTTCTGAGGCCGTTTTGTTATCTATTGTTTGCCAAGGAAGAGATCACACACAACACACAAACACACACACACACATACAAAATTCATAATCTTGGACTCACTGAACAGGAAAGTAAAGCAATTCTTACAGTCACCATTAGTATGTGTGTCTGTGTTTGTATGTTGACGCACATAGCCATTAAAAAATCTATTTATGCTTTTTGATTTTGATGGAACCACACGTTTCAAAGAGTAAAGAAGAGTCACTCTTGCCAGATGCTAAAAAATGGATGTTTGAGGGGAAAAAAGAAAAAAAATCTAAATGTTATGAGAAAGCTAACCGGTTTTCACTTCAATGTGGGAACATGTCTCTCATCTACAAGCCTGTCAGCCTCAGCGCCTGATAATGTGCTTGTACTGGCGGCCTCTTAAAACCT